CGTGCGTGTGTCGTGGCTGTAGTGCATGAGCTGGCTTGTGGTGTGTGCGTTGCATGCGTGGGCTTGTGCGTGTGTGCGTACGTGTGATGGTGCTTGTGCGTATGTGTGCTGCAGTGTGAGTGCTTGTGCGTTCGTGTGCTGGAGTTGTGAGTGCTTGTGCGTCTGTGTGCGAGTGTTGTAGTGCTTTGTGGCCGCTGTGTGCGAGTGTGAGTGCTTGTGCGTGTGTGCGCGGCATGTGAGTTGTTGTGCGTGTGTGCGTTGCATGTGTCGTGTGCGTGTCCGTCAGGAGAGATGCTTTCTAATCTGCTGCCGAACACCTATTCTTTTTGTCTGATGTTTAACAGGAGGATAGAAATGGAAGCTGCGCTGGTGATGTTGCGCTCTAGCGCAGGAGATGATAGTAGACAGAGCTGGCCAGCATCAGAAGAGATGGCAGACAGAGCTGGCAGCACCAGGAGAGCATAGAGACAGCAAGCTGCAGCACAGGACTGAGATGGGGACAGAGCTTTGGCAGCCCCAGGATGAGATAGAGACATGAGCTGCAGCACCTGGAATCATAGATTACAGACTGCATCACCAGGAGAAAAGATAGAGACAGAGCTGGCAGACAGCGAGGAGAGATAGAGACAGGGCGGCACACCAACAGATGATAGAGACAGAGCTGCGTCACAACCAGGAGATAAATAGAGACTATGAAGCTGGCCAGCATTCACAGAGATAGAGACAGAGCTGCAGCACCAAAGAAATAGATACAGAGCTCGTAGCAGCCAGAGAGATTAGCAGACAGAGCTGGCAGACCAGAAGAACATAAGAGACAGAAGTCTGGCAGCAACAACAAGAGATAGATACAGGAGCTGGCAGCACCAGTAAGAAATAGACTACAGATGGCTGGTAGCACAAGAGAATAGAGTACAGCAGCTGGCAGCACCAGGAGCAGATAGAGACAGATGCTGCCAGCACCAGCGAGAGGTTAGATACAGAGCTGGCGCAACCAGGAAGATAGAGGCAAGCTGGCGAGCAACAGTAGAGGTAATATATAGAGCTGCGCACACAGAGAGAGATAGAGGCAGAGCGGCAGCCAGCAGGAGAGTAGGTAGACAGAGCTGCACAACAGCAGGAGATGGGAAGACAGCAGCTGGCAGCTCACCCAGGAGAGATGAGATCAGAGCTGGCAGCAACAGAGGAGATGATCAGATACCAGAGCTTGCGCAGCACCCTTGGAGAATAGATACAGAGCTTGGCCGAGCCAACAGGACGAGCATGGAGATCAGAGCTGGTAGCACCAGGAGAGACAGAGACAGAGCTGGCAGCACCTGGAGAGGTCTAGATACAGCTGGCCAGAAACAGAAGATGTTTGAGACAGCAGCTGGCGAGAGATCAAGAGCTGGCACCAACAGGAGAGATGGAGACAGCAAGCTGGCCAATGCACCAGGAGCAGACAGAAGACAGAGCTGGCAGCACCAGCGAAGAACAGAGACAGAGTCTGGCCAAGCAACAGGACGAGATAGAGACAGAGCTGGCAGCACTGGCAGAAATAGATACACGAGCTGGCAGCAACAGGCACGAGATGGAGCAGAGCTCTTAGCACATGGAGAGACATGAGATAGCAGCTGCGCAGCAACCTGGAGAGGTAGTACAACAAGCTGGCAGCAACAGAAATGTAGCAGACAGAGCTGTTCAGAGACAGAGCTGCAGAAACAGCAGCTGGCAGGACAGAAGATTCTCTTGGATTTGCAGCGTCCGCACTCACGGTTCTGAGAAGGTGGTGACATCTACGCAATATACTATCAAAACTGTCAAGACCATCCGAGATGAAGAAGAGGCTGTGCAGCAGCAGAAGAAAGAGAGTCATGCGCTGGCAGCACCAACAGAGATAGCAGTCAGCAAGCTGGCAGCACCAACAGAGGATAGAGTCAGAGCTGGCAGCACCTGGGCAGTAGATTTAGAGACAGAGGCTGCAGCACCTGGATAGAGATAGAGACAGAAGCTGGCAGCACCACAGACGATAGAGTCAGAGCTGCGCAGCACCAACACGAATAGAGCAGAGCTGGCCAGCACCAACAGAGATAGAGTCTAGCAGCTTGGCAGCACCTGAGAGAGATAGAGACAGCGCTGCAGCTAGCAGCGGGAAATTAGAGTCAGAGCTGGCCAGCCACCAACAGAGCATAGCAGTCAGAGCTGCGCAACGCACCAGCGGACCATATAGATACAGAAGTTTGCAGCACCTGACATTCCCTACAGGAGCGTGGAGGAGATTAGAACAATCAAGAGCCATGAGCTGGCCAGCACAGAGGAGAAACTAGAGTCAGAGCTGCAGCCACCTGCGACATAGGTAGATTACAGAGCTGGCAGCACCTGGAGAGATAGAGACAGATGCTGCAGCACCAGGGGAAATAGAGACAGAGCTGGCAGCAACATGGGAGAAATAGAGCACGAGGCTTGGCAGCACAGGAGAGATAGAGACAGAGCTGCGCCAGAGACAGAGCCTGGCAAACAGCAGCCCCACCGTTGCATGGGTGACGCGACACGCTGCCGACGGTCAGCCTTGACCGCCGCGACATCGCCGACACTCCTGAGCCTCCGAAGCCGTGCATCCGCGGCAAACGCTTTGAGCCTTCAGCGCGAAGCACTGGACTTCCGCCGTCGAGCTCGCTGCTTGCCGTCATTGAGGCCTGAGCGAGCATATGCCTATGATCGCCACAACTCAGCTTCGTGAGGAGGAGGAGGAGGATGGAGGAGTGAGGAGGCAAGAAGGAGGCAGAAGGGTGAGGAGAAGGAGGAGGTTCAGGAGGAGAGGAGGAGGAAGAGGAGAAGCGGCTACCTCCCCGAGGTGGGAGGTGAGATAGTTGCAGCCGCGTGTGCGTATTGGTGGCTGAGGAAGGCAGGGAGGACATCCTCTCAGCCCCAGCAGAGTGGGAAAGGAAAAGCAGCCCCAGCTGCTCTAGTCAGTTTACGGATGCTGAGAAGAGGCGGTGCGGCGGGGAGCGTTCCCGGTGCAACTTTTGCTGTTGGCATGCTGAGCAGAGATGAAGTTCTGCATGCGGATAGTAGCGCGTCGAAAACAGCAGCAGTTGGAGCGTGAGATGAGAGGCCAGGTCTGAGAAAGTCGCGAGAGAACGATGCGAGCGACTCACGAGTAAGCTCGTAGCAGAGATGATGAAGCCATCAAACGACGGGGATGCCGGGACAACCTCCATCCGCATGGGTCCGCGCATCGCCACCGAACAACCACTGGACCGTAAGATGAAGAAGTCTTGACGGATGAAGCAGCCACATTTCCCGGTGTGGCATCGACGACGAGGATTGAAGCGCAGGTGATGCGGCGGGAAGGAAACACGACGACGGTGTTTTCACACGTGCTCAGCAAAACCAAATCATGCAAGTAGATGCATTGAATGATGATGATGATGCATGATGATGTATGATGATACTTGCTGAGAGGTGAGAGTGAAGCAGCTGTGATAGCAAACGGAACACCGGACAGGTAGGAGAGGATGACGATGCAGCCATGCAGAGAAACATTTGTGAATACATACGAGCCACGAGGCTAAGCAGAAGTAAGCGATACAGCACAGAGTGAGAATGAAGCAGCTATGATATGGATGGGCGAAGAAAGGAGGCGTCGATGCAGGCCAAGCAGAGAAGGCAACTTGCCGAATAGGATGGGATAAGAAAGACGGCGTCGATGCAGGCCAAGAGAGAAGGAGCTGCGGATAGCGATGGGTAAGAAAGAGGCGTCGATGCAGGCCAGTAAGAGAGCAAGCAGCTTGCGATTACAAAGCACACAGGAGCCGAGGAAGAAGATATGGAGCAGAAGTAAAGAAGGAATGAGAGGAGAATGCAGAATGGAGGTCGAGAATAGGCGTTGCTCGATATCGAACACTCGCGCCGTGAGGTGCTGACACGGGCGCGCGTCGATGATGGTCAACGTGCACAAAGCGCTGACGCATAGCTCTGTCGCCAGACATCGCCACCGCGGCACGTCATCGCAACGCCGACGGTTGGTAAGAGGAAGCCGCAGCATACGTAAGATCGAAGACGGAACCGCAGCATCACGCCAGCAGGAAGAGGAAGCCGCAGCATATGCCAGCCAGCGGAAGAGGAAGCCGCAGCATACGTCAACAGGGAAGAGCGAAGCGCAGCATACGTAAGCAGCGGGATAAGAGGAAGCCCAGACCTATACGTGCAACAGCCGGAAGAGGAAGCCGCCAGCATACGTAAGCAGTGATAGAGGAACCGCAGCATACGTAAGCAGGGAGATGAGAAGCCGCCAGCATTACGTAAGCAGGGAAGAGGAAAAAGCCGCAGCATACGTGAGCAGGGAAGCAGGAAGCCGCCAGCATATGCCAGCAGGGCAAGAGGAAGCCGCCAGCATAGTCACGCATGGCGCAAAGAGGAAGCCGGCCAAAGCATACGTATAGCAGAAGATGGAAGCCGCAGCATACGTAAGCAGGGAAGAGGAAGCCGCCCGATCATACGTTAAGCAGGGAAGAGGATAAGGCCGCAGCATAACGTAAGCAGAGGAAGAGCCGAAGCCGCAGCATTATAGCTAGCAGAAGCGGAAGCCGCAGCATTACGCCACAGCGGAAGAGGGAAGGCCGCAGCATACCGTAAGCAGGGAAGAGGAAGCTGCAGCCATACGTAATCAGCGGAAGAGGAAGCCGCAGGCAGTACGTCAGCAGGGCTAAGAGGACAGCCTGTCCAGCATACGTCAGCAGGGAAGAGGAACCGCAGCATACTGTAAAGCAGGAGAAGAGGAAGCCGCCCAGCATACGTAAGCAGCGGAGAGGTAAATGCCGCAGCATATTCAGCAAGGCAAGAGGAAGCCGCAGTATACGTAAGCAGGAAGAAGAGGTAAGCCACAGAAATACCGCCAAGCAAGGAATGAGGAAGCCGCAGCATTACGCCAGCAGGGAAGAGGAAGCCACGACATATGCCAGCAGGGAAGAGGAAGCCGCAGCATACGCCAGCAGAGAAAAGGAAGCCACGACATATGCCAGCATTGAAGAGGAAGCCACGACATATGCCAACAGAGAAAGATGGAAGCACGGACATACGCCAGCATGGCGAAAAGGATGCCACAACATACGTCAGAAGGGAAGAGGAAGCCACGACATACGCCGGCGGGCAAGAGGAAGCCACGACATACGTGAGTAGGGATGAGGAAGATGAGGCGGATGCTGCGGGTGATGCCGCAGAAGCGTGCGTCGACGTTACTCACGGAGAAAGAGATGCGGCAGGAGAAGATGAAGGCAGAGTGGAAATTCGCAGCACAGACGGAGGTAGAGAGGAAGCAGGAGAAATAGAGGAGGTTACGGAGGAACGGGAAGAGAAGACTAGCGGCACTCCAGTGCGAATTCCCGACTCGTTCGTCGCCGCAGGTCGCGACCCCAACTTGCAGACCGTGGATGAAGAAGTGCATGACGAGCCAGCAGGGGGCGCCTCCGAGGTTCTTCGGTCGCCGTCGCCCCCGATGCACGGCGCGGGGGAGGGTCGTGCCTCTCCCCTCGTCGATGACGTCATGTTCAGGGGAGGCGACACCGACGTGGACGCCAGTGAGGAAGGAGGAGGAGGAAGAGGAAAGGAACCCGACGCTGGTATGGATGTTACGGTAGCAGGAGGAACAGAGGTGGACCCTTACGGAGACCGCACAGACGTCCAGTCCCCCATCGCTCAAGTGACGACTGAGGTCTCATATCAGAGCACCGGATTTTACGGTGGAGCCGCCGGGGAGAGCTGCCAATCTAGTCGGAGTGAACCGGACGTGGCTGTTGCCGTGGAGATACCTGCAGCACGCGAGCACGGCAGCAGGGCGCCATGGCGACGCGATGACGACAACGCGAGAGAGGAGATTGAGGATAACCGCGGAGTCATGCGCACTGATGCTGCTGCTGCTGCTGCTGCTGCTGGTGGTGATGATGCTGATGCTGCTACTGCTGCTGGTGATGCTGCTGGTGATGCTACTGGTGATGCTGCTGCTGGTGATGCTGCTGGTGATACTGCTGCAGCTGCTGCTACTGCTGCTGGTGATGCTGCTGCTGGTGATGCTGCTACTGCTGGTGATGCTGCTGGTGATGCTGCTGCTGGTGATGCTGCTGTTACTGCTGCTGGTGATGCTGCTGGTGCTGCTGCTGCTGGTGATGATGCTGCTGCTCTGGTAGAGCCTCATGAGGCTAATGATGCTGGAAGAGGAGGGGAAGAAGAGGCTGTGATGGCTTCTCCATCTCTTTCCCCCTCTCTCACTAACACCCATCCTCCACATTTAGAATCGAATTGGAACAGAGGAAGGAACAGGAGCACAAGGAACGGCTGCGCAGGGAGGAGGAGGAAAGGAGGCAGCAGGAAGAGAAAGACCGGCTTGAGACTATGAGACTCGAACGTGAGCTGGAGGAGGAAGAGATGCGAAGGGCTGCAGAGGAGGAAAGACTCATGGAGGAAGCCAGAGAGGTACGTGTTCCTTTGCTCTGGCCTTTCTCCTTTTTTCTGGAAGTTAGTGCCCAAAGGTTGAATGTTTTCATGTGAGCTGGCACAAGCATGACTAAAAGCTCTCATGGCTTCTTTCATTCAGGTGCCTTTGTAAAAGTTAACTATACTATTATTACTATTACTATTATTATTTCCAAAGTGGATCACTGCATTAGCCGGTGGCTTCTTGGTTGACCGTGCTATTATTATTATTATTATTATTATTATTATTATTATTATTTGATTTTAAATGTGTCAATATATTCGTTTATTTTTATTTTGTTGCATGTATGAGCCTCTTATAAATCCCAACGACGTCAGGCAGTGTTCGCGTAAAGTTCCTCAAGATTACAACGATGCCTGTGAACTTCTTCCTTCCTTCACGGACAGTTCCATCACATTTCGTTGCTTTCCTTTGCAGAGGATCCTAGCTGAGATGGAGGCGAAGGAGGCCCAAGAGCGGGTGGAGCAGGAGATGGCGGAGAGGGCGAGGCGAGAGGAGGAGGAGCGGCAAGAGCGGAAGCTGCGTCTGGAAGCCATAATGAGCAGGACAAGGAAGAAGGTGGGTGCTCTCTTGAAGCGAGGATGCGTATCCTAGTAACAACGTGAAAGTAGGAACGCTGGGAGCTGAGAGGCACTGAATGAAATACCACGTGCATGTGATCGTTCGTATGTACGTGCATGCTTGTGTATGTGTGTACGTGTGTGTTTGTGTATGTGTGCACGTGCGTGTTTGTGTATGTGTGCACGTGCGTGTTTGTGTATGTGTGTACGTTGCATTCGTATAGGCAATACGATCGTACTTGCGCATGTGTGCGAGTGTGAGTGCTTGTGCGTGTGTGAGTGCTTGTGCGTGTGTGCGAGTGTGAGTGCTTGTGCGTGTGTGAGTGCTTGTGCGTGTGTGCGAGTATGAGTGCTTGTGCGTGTGTGCGAGTGTGAGTGCTTGTGCGTGTGTGCGAGTGTGAGTGCTTGTGCGTGTGTGCGTTGCATGTGTGTGTGCGTGTCTGAGGAGAGATGTTTCTAAATCTGCTGTGAACACCTATTCTTTTGTCTATGTTTAACAGGAGGAAGAAATGGAGCTGGCTGATGTTGCGATCCGAGGGGCGGGGAGCTTGTTTACACTTTGTCTAGACGCAGGAGAGATAGAGACAGAGCTGCAGCATCGAAGAGATGCGAGACAGAGCTGGCAGCACAGGAGAGATAGGACGAGCTGGCAAGCAACCAAAGGGAGATGCGGGACAGAGCTGGCAGGACCAGGAAAGATAGAGACAGAGCTGGCAGAGACCAGGGAGATAGAGCAGAGCTCGGCAGCATCAGGAGAGATAGAGACAGAGCTGGCATCAGCAGGACGAGATAGAGAAGAGTGACAGCAACAGGAATATAGAGGACAGAGCTGCAGCGCAGGAGAGTGGAGATCAGAGCTGCGCACAGAGAGATAGCGACAGAGCTGGACCACCAGGAGAGATAGAGACAGACTGCAGCATCAGCGAAAGATGAGATCAGAGTGCCAGCACAAGACGATATAGAGACAAGCTGGCAGCACGCAGAGGGCATGCGAGACAGAGCTGGCAGATCAGAAGAGATAAGCGACTAGCTGGGCCAGCAAACAGGAGAGAGTAGAGACAGAGCTTTGGCACAACAGAGAGATAGAGGACAGAGCTGCAGCACCAAAAGATAGAGCAGAAGCTGCAGAGACAATCGGCACAACCAGAGAAATAGAGACAGAGCTGATAGACCTGGAGAAGATAGAGACAGAGCTGCGCCCCGGAGAATAGCAGACAGAGCTGGCAGCAGCACGGAGAAATAGAACAAGAGTTGACAGTCACCAGGAGAGATAGAGACATGGCTGGCAGCCAGCAGGAGAGCGATAGAGACAGAGCTGGCCAGCATCCAAACAAAAGATAGGAGACAGAAGCTAAGCAGACAGAGCTGGTTGACCGGAGCAATAGAAGACAGAGCCTGGCAGCCGAGCAGGGAGCAGATAGAGCAGAGGCTGGCAGCACCAGGAGAGGATAGAAGACAAAGCTGGCAGCAGCGAGAGATAGAGACACGAGCTGCCAGCGTGCGGAGCAGATGGAGACAGAGCTGGCGCAACAGGAAGAGGTAGCTACAGAGCTGCAGCACAGGAGTATATAGAACACAGCTCGACAGCAGCAGGAGAAAATAGAGGACTAGACGGTTTTTTTTTTTTTATATATTTGCAGCCCACAGGAGAAAAGTACAGCAGACGAACTGCAGCAACATAGAGAGCGTGAGTCACATGAGCTGCAGCACCTGGGAGAAATAGTACAGAGTGGCAAGCACAGGAGAGATGGCGAACAGACGATGTAGCATCAGCGAGAGACAGAGACAGAGCTAGCGCCCACCTGAGAGAGATAACAGAGCTGGCAGCAACAGAGGATGTAGAGGACGACGCTGCAGAAAACAGAGCAGCAGAGACAGAGCTGCAGAGACAGAAGATTTTGGATTTGCGTTCCAATCAGTTCTGAGAAGGTGGTTCCATCTAGCAATTACTATGATCAACTGATCAAGACATCGAGATTGAAGAAGAAGTGCAGCAGCAGAAGAAAGAGAAATGTTCAAGCTAGGCAGCACAACGCAGATAGAGTCAGAGCTGCCAGCACCAACAAGAGATAGAGTCAGGCTGACAGCACCTGGAGATATAAGAACAGAGCTGGCAGCCAGCAGGGGAAATAGTGAAGAATGGCCCACCATCAGAGATGCAGTCAAAGAGCTGGCAGCACCAACAGAGATAGAGTCAGAGCTGCGCAGCACCTGGAGAGACAGGAAGGTCGGCCATCACGCAACAGAGATAGAGTCAGAGTCTGCGAAGACCAGGACATATAGGTACAGAGGTGCAGCACCTGAATCATTCACCTACCAGAGCTGTCAGAGGAATAAACAATCAGAGCCAGAGCGGCGACGAGGTAAAATTAGGTCAGAGGCTGGGCAGCACCTGGATTAATAGATACAGAGAGCTGCAGCACCTGAGGATAGAGACAGAGCTGACGCAGCAGGGGAAATAGAGACAGGTGGCACGCACCAGCGAGAAAATAGAGGACAGAGCTTGGCAGCACTCTGGATCATATAGCTACCAGAGCTGGCAGCACCTGAGAGATAGGAGACAGAGCTGCGCAGCGGGGAATAGGAGACAGAGCGCAGCAGCAACGGGAGAAATAAGAGACATGAGCTGGCTGGAGACAGGCTGGCAAAGACAGAGCTGCGAGACAGAGCTGGCGACAGCAGGCCCGTCCCCACCGGCTGACCATGGTGCGGACACGCCGGGGACAGTCGGCGAACATTCCTGGCTCCGAGCCGTGCATCCGCGCAACGCTTCGGAGCTTCAGCGCGAAGCACTGACTTCCGCGTCGAGCTCGCTGCGCCGTCATTGAGGCTAGGCCGAGAAGCCCGATCGCCACCAGCGTGAGGCAACGGAGCGAGGAGAGTAAGGAGCAAAGAGTGAGGGAGGAGAAGGAGGAGAGGAGAAGAGATGAGGAGGAGCGAGGAGGAGAAGGAGGACGCAGGAGGCAGGAGCGAGGCAAGAGGAGAGGACGAGAGAGGAAGGGAAAGAGGAGGAGCTCGTCTACGCGGCTCCGAGGTGCGGAGGTGATGGATAGCTGAGCCGGGTGCGTCTGGTGAGGAAAGGCAGGGGACGTTTCCCCTCCGCAAGCAGGGGAAGGAGCCGGTCAGCTGCTTCTTTTTTCTCAGTAGGAGCTGAGGAAGAGGGCGCGTCCGCCTGGAGCGCTTCTCCGATGCCTAACTTTGGTTGGATGCTGACGAGAGGATGAAGTTCTGCATGCGGATAGTAGCCGGTCAAAAAGCAAGCAGAGGTGAATACTTAGAGGATGCTGAGGATAAGTCGCATAGAGGCGATGAGTGAGCGAGGCGATCACGAGGAGCTGCAGCAGAGATGATCGAATCCATCAACGCACGCGGGATGCGGACACTCCGCCGATTGGTCCGCCGCATCCCACGACAATCCACACCGTAAGAGAGAAGCCTCTAGAGGTGAAGCATCCCTGTTGCATCGCACGACGCGATTGCGCGGGCAGCGTAGCGGTGGAGGCAACACGATGCGTGTTTTCACATCGTGCTCAGGCAACATCATTCGAATATGATGATGATGATGAGATGAGATGATGATGATACTGCTGAGAGGGAGAGTGAAGCAGCTGTGGATAGCCAACCGGAACACGGCAGTAGGCAGAGGCTGCGATGCAACCAGAGAGAAACATTTCGATGATACACACACGAGCGCGAGCTAGAGCAGTAAGCGATACACGACAGAGGAGATAATTGAAGCAGCTTTATAGGATGGGAAGAAAGGGCGTCGATGCAGGCAGAGAGAAGCACTGCGATCAGGATGGGAAGAGAGGCTTCGATGCACGGAAGAGAGAAGGAGCTGCGCATATGATGAGGAAGAAGAGGCGTCGAATGCAGGCAAGAGAGAAGCAGCTGACGATACAAAGACACAGGCAGGGAAGAAGCAAGAGGGCGGGGGGGGGGGGCGCAGAAGAGAAGAGAGAAAGAGGGACGAGATGGAAGAGAGCGGTCCGGATTAAGCGTTGCCTCGACTAATGAACACTCGCCCCGTGAGGTTGATAAACGGCGCGAATGAGGTAACGCTGACAGGTGACGAAGCGTCGCAGATCGCCACCGCACGACGTATCGAAGCAAAACGCGACGGTTGGAAGAGAAACCCAGCCATACGTTAAGCAGGCCGAAGAGGGAGCCGCAGCATCGCCAGCCAGAAGAGGAACCGCAGCATATGCAGCAGGGAAGATGGAAGCCCAGAATACGTTCAACAGGGAAGAGGAAGCCGCAGAATACGTAAGCGGGAAGAGGAAGCCGCGTCATAGTACAGCAGGAAGAGAAGCCGGCAGCATACGTAACAGGTAAGAGAAGCCGCAGCATACTGTAATGCAGGAGAGGAGCCGCAGCATATGCAGCAGGAAGAGGAAGCCGCCCAGCATACGCAGCAGGAAGGAGGAAGCCGCACGCATGACGTAAGACGGGGAAGTACGGGAAGCCGCAGATACGTACAGCAGGGAAAGAGAAGCCGCGACATGTACGTAAGCAGGAAGAGGATAGCCGCAGCATTACGTACCAGCGGGAAGAGGACAGCCGCGCATATGCTAGCAGGGAAAGAAGCGCAGCATACGCCAAGCAGGGTAAGAGGAGAGCCGCAGGCATACGTAAGCAGGGAAGGGAAGCTGCGCATTACGTAGCGGAAGAGGAAGCCGCAGCAGATCACGTCAGCAGGGAAGAGGAAGGCCGCAGCAATACGTTCAGCAGGAAGAGGAAACGCCGCAGCATACGTAATGCAGAAGAGGAAGCCGCAGAGCATACGTAGAGCAGGGAGAGGAAGCGCAAGCATATGGTCAGCCAAAGAAGAGGAAGCCGCAGCATGACCGAGAGCCAGAGAAGGAAGCCACAGATACGCCAGCCCCACGTACTATCGAGAGCGAAGAAGCCCGCAAAAAAGCCTACTCCAGCAGGGAAGAGGAAGGCCACGAACATTGAGCCATGAGGGAGAGGAAGCCGCAGTCATACTCCAGCCAGAGAAAAGAAGCCACGACATTGACCAGCCATTCGAAGAGGGAAGCCACGACATATGCCAACAGAGAAGAGGAAGCCACGACATACGCCAGCAGGGAAAAGGAAGCCACAACATATGTAAGCAGGGGGAAGAGGAAGCCGCAGCATACGCAGCCAGAGAAAAGGAAGCCACGACATATGCTAGCAGAGAAGAAGAATCCACAACATACGTCAGAAGGGAAGAGGAAGCCACGACATACGCGGCGGGCAATAGGAAGCCACGCATACGTGAGTAGGGATGAGGAAATGATGCGATGCTGCGGGTATGCCCGCATGAAGCGTGCGTCGACAATACTCATCGAGAAAAAAGAGCATGCGGCAGGAAAAGATGAAGCACGAGAGGAAATTCCAGCACAGCGGAGTAGGAGGGAAGCAGGAGAAGGGGAAGTAGAGGAGGTTACGGAGAAGGAGAGAAGAATAGCGGCACTCCAGTGCGATTCCCGACTCGTTTCGTCGCGTCAGGCCGACCCAATTTACGACGTGGATGAGAATGTGCATGACGAGCAGCAGGGGCGGCCTCCGAGAGCTCTTCCGGTCGCCGTCGCCACCCGATGCACGGCGCGGGGGAGGGTCGTCCCTCTCCTCGTCCGATGACGTTCATGTTCAGGGGAGCGACACGACGTTGACTCCAGTGAAGGAAGGAGGCAGCGAGTGAAGAGGAAAGGAACCGCGCTGGTTGGATGTTACGGTGCAGGAGAACAGAGTGCGACCCATACGCGAGACCTCTGCAGACGTCGCATCCCATCGCTCAAGTGACGCCGACTGAAGGTCTCATATCAGAGCACGGATTTTTACGCTTGGAGCCGAGGGCAGAGCTGTCAATCTAGTCGCGAGTGCAGCGGACGTGGCCTGATTGCGTGAAGATACCTCGCCCGCACGCCGATGGCACGCAGCAGGGCGCCATGGCGACGCCGATACGGACAACGCAGAGAGGAGATTAGGATTAACTGCAGGAGCTCAGGCGCACTGATGCGCGCCCTGCTACTGGGGCCTGCTGGTGATGCTTATGGTGCTGTTGTGTCTTGAATGCTGGCTTGGGATGCCTTGCTGGTATGCTGCTGATGTGGCTGGGATGCTGCTGGTTGAGCTGCTGATGCTGCCTGCTGGTACTGCTGCTGTGATGCTGCCTGTGCTCTGCTGCCTCGCTGGCTGCGGCTGCTGCTGGCACTGGCGCTGCTTGCTGCTGCTCTGTAGGAGCCTCATGAGGCTAATGATGCTGAAGAGGAGGGGAAGAAGAGGCTGTGATGGCTTCATTCGCCAGCCGTGAAGCGACTCCTCCCCCGCCTAGCGAGAAAGAGGAAGCAGATGGAGAGGTCAAGGATGAGGAAGTAGATGGAGAGGTCAAGGATGAGGAAGTAGATGGAGAGGTCAAGGATGAGGAAGTAGATGGAGAGGTCAAGGATGAGGAAGTAGATGCGAGAGTCAAGGGATAGGATAGTAGTGAGCAGGTCAAGGATGGGAAGTAGATGCACGAGGTCAAGGATGAGGAAGTAGGATGAGAGAGTCAATGATGAGAAGTAGATGAGAGAGTCCACCACCACGGATCGCAGGAAGTAATGAGAGAGGTCAGGATGGGAAGGCAGATGAGAGCGTGCAGCATGAGGAAGCAGATGGAGAGGTCAAGGATGAGGAAGCAGATGGAGAGGTCAAGGATGAGGAAGTGAATAGACCATCCGATCCAGAGGTGGACAAGCAGGAAGAACCACGGGAAGTAGCTGCCAGGGAGGCGGATGAGGATGTGATCGATAAAGCTGAACACATCCAGCCAACCTCCGCCCTGGACGTGCAGCCGCGAGGAGCGCCCGTCGCCGAGCGGTTGCCAGGGCAACAGGTCGGCGACGATGAGGAAGAGGCTGGGATCGGCGAGCACCTGGAGCGCAAGTTTCGCGCGTACGAGCAGGAGTACGAGCGCTACAAGCGCGAGATGGAGTGCATCGCCGAGGCAACGCCGCACGTCGCGACGGCCGAGGAGGGCGCCGAGCACGACGTCGAGTCTGAGCATCCCGACGACGACGACGAGAAGTACTCCTCCTCCTCGGAGGAGGGCTTCGCCGCTGAGACTCCCGATGGTTCCGGCCACATGTTGCTTCCTGGTGAACTAGGGAAGCGAGAGGAAGGCTTCGCGGCGACAACGGCGGAAATTTCCGGACCGGGAGGGAGAGAGGAAAGGCCGCGGGATATCGCTGCACTCTTTGGCGCAGAACAGGAGAGTTGTGGGATGCCCATGCCAGGTGTCACGACCCCGGATATCGAACCCGTGGACAGCCTGGAGACAATGATGTACAGGGAAGCTGGGACCTACAAGGATGAGGATGCTGCAGAGATGGTAACCGGGGAGGATGTGACGTACAAATCAGAAGAGATGAAGGAGGAGGAAGAGGAAGTGAAGGAGGAGGAAGAGGAAGTGAAGGAGGAGGAAGAGGAAGTGAAGGAGGATGAAGAGGATGTGAAGCAGGAGGAAGAGGAAGTGAATGAGGAGGAAAAGGAAGTGAAGGAAGAGGAAGATGTAAAGGATGAAGAAGTCGAACAGGAAAAAGAGAAAGAGGTGAAGGATGAGCAAGAGGATGCTGCCCCCCAGGGCTTCTTCAGCAGCATGAGAACATATGTCACTGAAACGTTCACCTCCATCGTCCGCTCAAGTGACGCCCAGCAACAAGAAGAGGAGGCTGGGGACCCGACAACCACCATCCCTGCAGGCGATGAGGAGGAGTCTCTGAGACTCAACCTGGAGGGCAAGATGGAACCGGGCTTGGGGGCGCCACCGTCAGGGGTCACGCCGCGGTCGGACGTGTCGAGCGAGTGCAGCGAAGACGTCCCCGTCGTCGACTCCTCCCGATCCGACTCGTCCGGTTGCCATGACGACGCAGCATCCGTCATGCTGCGACCACTTTGCGACGATCCCGCCTACGCGGAGACGGCGCCGTCTGGTGAGAGTAGCAGTTCCCGCGATGACGTCTCATCCTGTGACAAATCACCACGGTCGCACGTCTCAGAGCAGTCAAGTTGCCGTGACGACGACCCCGCGTTTGACCCGACCTCGGCGACCTCGCCGAGCGTGACCTCCGACCCCGGCGACACGCCACGCTCCGGGATCGAAATGGATTACAGCGACGATGCGGCGGATCGTCATGACGACGACGACGATGCGGCGGATCGTCATGACGACGACGACGATGCGGCGGGTCGTCATGACGACGACGACGATGCGGCGGGTCGTCACGACGACGACGACGATGCGTCGGGTCGTCACGACGACGACGACGATGCGTCGGGTCGTCACGACGACGACGAAGATGCGGCGGGTCGTCACGACGACGATGCAGCGGCGGCGGTGATAATGATGACCAGCATGTACGACAGCGGCAAGGACGGCGCTGATGACGATGGCGACGGCGGCGAGGACGCTGATGATGACGATGGCAACAGCTGCAGCAGCAGCCAGGACACGGAGTCAGGAGGCCAGGCGGTCGATGTCAGAGAGTTCGAATTGGTGATGCTGCAGCGGGAGCATGCCGGCGCGCCGGACCCTTTATCGTACGAGGAGAGAGAAGAGGAGAGTGCGCTATATAGTGATGCAAGGGAGGAGGCTTCCTTATCGATGGCAGAGGGAGAGGAAGATCTCACGCTTGATGTGCCGAGAGAGGAGAGCCGTACGCGGGACAGCGAGAGAGAGGAGAGCCGTACGCGGGACAGTGAGAGAGAGGAGAGCCGTAGGAGAGACAGTGAGAGAGAGGAGAGCCGTAGGAGAGACAGTGAGAGAGAGGAGAGCCGTAGGAGAGACAGCGAGAGAGAGGAGAGCCGTAGGAGAGACAGTGAGAGAGAGCTAGGTCTTCTATCTGGCAACACAAGGGCGGAGGCTTGCCATCCAGGAGGTGACGGGGAGGAAGGTCGAGCGTGGGGAGAGCTGACTGAGTCATCCCGCAGAGATAGTACTGGCAATGAGGGTGACACAATAGCACAAGGTGGTGACAGGGAGGGCTACCCAGTACCACTAGAGGGAGCCAACAATGAGTACCCGTGCACGATGCCACGAGGGGATGACGCCGCAGAGGTGGAGGAGGAGCTTGATTTGGCAGAAGGCGTTGATGAGGAGGGCGATGCAAGAGTGACATTCCGGGAGGTTCTGAGGAAAGGAAGCAAAGAGGAATGCATTCCCAGGAAAAGAAGCCAAGAAGAGGAGATCCTTGAAGGAAGCGGGGATGAGGACATCGCTGCGGATGCTGATGAAATGAGAGCGAGTGCGGCCGACTCGGGCGTCTGCGGGATGTCGTCATCGTCAGGGACGACCGACCCAGTCGAGTCATCACTGATGATGTCATCGTCGATGATGATGTCATCGTCGATGATGATGACGTCATCGCTGCACGATTGCCGTGGCGACAACGACGACGACGACGACTACCTCTCGTCCGGTTCAGACAGCGGCAGCGCGCGCTCGTTTGTTTCGCGCGAGGAGACTGGGGGCGGCAGCGGTGGCGACACCCGCAAGGTCACGGGGTCAAGGTCAGGCGATCAGAGCGAGAAAAAGCAGCTGCAGTCGTCGCCGCAGCGACAGGAAGAGGTGCAGCGCGGGTCTTTCTCGGCAGATTGGAGCGAGGGAGCAACTACTGTGATGGGTATGTGTCACTTTGCTGCCACCCACCGATGGGTATGTGTCACTTTGCTGACACCCACCGATGGGTATGTGTCACTTTGCTGCCACCCACCGATGGGTATGTGTCACTTTGCTGCCACCCACCGATGGGTATGTGTCACTTTGCTGCCACCCACCGCCTGGCCATATAAAATTCATAGTTATTTTCAGTGTATTTCGTTGTACTTTTCGTCTCGGGCATAAAACATTCAGGCATGCGTAGTATATAATGCGACAGTAGGTGTATCATCGCATTAAAACCACGTCGCTTTACTTGTACATCGTAATGTTAAAGCTAAGATGTTACATCAGATTGACATGGAAGTGAGAGCGAGAGAGAGATAGATAGATATGATGAGAGGCAGGATCCGGATAAAAGTTCAAATGGATGCGTGCTCATCTCGTGTTTCCATGGTTACAGAATCTGTGATGACGGCCGATGCGGATGGGAGCAGCAGACGCGACGGCGAATGCTTAGACACGCCGCTGGCGATGAGAAGCCAACCTGATGAGCACAGGTAAAGCTGCGTTTACGGTGTTGGCAGAAAGGTGCGATATGACATGACTACTAGGCACTTTAATTTAGGGTTAGGGTTTTTTTTTTTTTAAGTGCCTAGTAGTCATATCCTAAGTGCCTAGTAGTCATATCATATCGCATCTATCTGCCGGGTGCTGCGTTTACACTACCGACTTTGGGTTGCCGAATTGGCGAATTGGACCAGCTTCCCACCTATACAACCGACAACAGTGTAAACGCAAGTTGTGTGACCAACCGATCGATAGCAACTAGTTGGGAGATTAGAACATGTTCTATTTTCGCCAACTCGGAGTTGGCGAATTGGGAAGTTGGTTCAACTCGCCGTTTCGCCAACATAACGTCGGTAGTGTAAACCCAGCTTAAGGTGGCCATCTAGTTCATACAGGTCCTGAAAAAACCTGGTACGTCCAGGGGATTTTGAATATATTCGTTTTCCCAGGTCTGGAACATAAAACATGGTGCTGGAAAGTTCTGGAAAATCTTTTATTCATAATTATTGTATTTTTAACAGTATTTATAAGCGTTATTATTAATAGAGAATGATGATTATTATGTTAGTTCTTAGAAAGTTGCTATAGCCTATTCTGTGGCACATCTTTGAAAAACATACATGAGCGAAAAATTAATTATAACTGATGACGTCGATGTACCATTTCTCCACCAGGTGGTCGGCGACAGAGGGCGCTACCTATGTCTCGGGTAAGTCCTCGGGCGGCGATGGCGGGAGCTGGAGCTCGCCACCAGGGGGAGACGGCAGTGAGTGCGCGGAGTTTGGCGCCATTATCGGTATATCGGGTGACGCGTCGTTGACGGTGACGACGACGACAAGAGACAAGAGGCACGGGAACGGCAGCGGTGATGGCCGGAAAGACGAGGGCGTGACTAGAGAGGGCGCCGGCGACGCAGCGACGACCCTCGGCTGCCCAGAAGGTGATGTATGGCCTACATGTGAGGCCACAATTAAAAAAGATTTTGTTTGCCCTAACTCGACCCATGCTGGAAAATTTGGGTAGGTAGGTAGGCTTTAATTTTTTTTTTGAGGGGGGTCTTTTTACAAATTCAGCATGGTGTCTACATGCTCGGGTGTGCTTGGGTGGAGATACCTTTTCTGTTGAATGTTTGTTTTGCTTGGTACATATAATGTATTGCCTACAGATTTATATAATGTACAGTAATACAATTTGTAAAAAAAAAAACAATGGGAAAGATCAATAAAAATGTTTGAGTCGGTCCCTTTTTGGTGGGTCGGTCGGGTGAGGGCAAACAAACAATATGTTTATTATGGCCGGACGGGATATGATCTATGGTGACGTTGTATGGTCTACGGCAGTGGTTCTTAACCTTTTTTGAGTCATGATCGAAACCTTTTGAGAATCTGTTGAAATCTAAGGACCCCTCCCCAGAAAAATGCACATAAGCATATATATATACACACAGAATTTAGCATGTGCCTTGTTCACGGACCCCCTGAAGCCCATCCACGTACCCCAAAGGGGTCCATGGACCACAGATTAAGCACCCCTGGTCTACAGTAACCTTATACGACATATAGTAAACATTATCAACTAGAATGGCCTCGTATGTCCGACATGAGGGCCTCGTTAAATGTCGTTCACTACTCTTCTGTGGCATTAGTGTTGCACTGATCCCACGTTAAAGTGATTACGTCACCCTAAATAGTAAAAATTAAAACAATATTTCCACTTTTTCACAAAATATAAGTAAGTCTGTTCACTTTTTATGGTTAAATTGCTGCATTATACTTCTTATTTTACTATATTGTTCGATGTGAACATACATTCGTGACTCATACATAGGGCCTATAGCCCTTGGCAAGCAATTAATGTTAGGAACACAATATCAAATCGTCCAGGTTTTTTGGATTTTTAACTAGTTGAGAAACAATCTTATCAGGTAAGAATTTGAGGATACGAATTTAGTCCCGTTAGTTCTTACGTTTAATGTAAAAAAATGGCAACAAAATTTTTACACATTTTACCATAGAAAATTCGTGACGTAGCCAATTTAACGCATCGCGCTGGTTTTTATGTGACATTCTTTTCCTCGGCAGAACTATCGTAGTGTCCGCTGCACGTGGAAAGAGCTGCCACGCGGTGGCAGCACGTCCGACCATACTTTGGGCAACGTTGGACAGTCAGTCATGCCGTCCATCTAGACCATCGAAAAATCACCCCAAGGGGCGTGCTTGCTGCTGCCGGAGTGTCCAGCACATGCCAATGTCATCATATATTTAGATATATAAATATCAAGGGATGAGATATCAGCGCATAAGATTTACAGGTTGGGATTTCAAAGGGATAAGGGATAAAATATGAGAGGGTGAGATATTAAGGGATATTATATCAAAGGTCGTGATATCAGTAGATATGCTATCAAGGGAGAGAGGAGCCTGGGTCAAGGGTTTAGGGTACACAGTCGGTATTGTATATGCAGGGCAGGTGTTGTCCTGCCAAAATGTACGCATATAAATAACATCTATAGGGTTTTTATGCCCTTGGAAATGTATAAAGGTCACAAGAAAAATTAAATGAAGACAAATTCTGTTTCATATTAAGTTTGACAGAGGAGTAAGTGATCGACACTAGCTCTGGGAGAGAATACAATAAACAATACAAGAATACATACAAGTTACCAGGAGTAGATAGTAGTTCCCTATTATCTACTCCTGAAGATACCTTACTCTAGTATACGAACAGGATCACGTTTGTATAGGTCACACGATTTCGGCCCAAGTTAAAATGCAGCCCTGGAGATCGATGATATATGCATGCATCGATCAGCATAGATTTAGGAGCACACGACAGAAACGTTAACAGGGCCAATGCAGACAGCTATATTGTTCATGGCACAGTGCACTTAACTTAAACGTGCTCTGTCGCGTATCTAAATTCTGAGTTGTATGCGTATCTTTGGATACCACCAACATGCCTTAGTGGTCTGTGCACACACACGTATCATGTTAGCATTCTCTCTCTCTCGCGCTCTCTCTCGCAAGCGCTCTTAAGTCTTATGCTCTCTCTTTCTATGTGTTATCTCTCTTCCTCTCTCCCCCTCGCGCGCTCTATCTTTCTCTCTCTCTCTCTCTCTCTCTCTATCTCTCTCTCTCTCTCTCTCTTTCTCTCGCTCTCGCTCGCTCTTGCTCGCTCTTGCTCTCTCTATCTATCTATCTATCTATCTCTCTCTCTCTCTCTCTCTCTCTCTCTCTCTTTCTCTTTCCACGCGCACTCATGCACACATACACAACACACATATGCACAAGTATTCTTGCATATGAGCGCAACTACACACAACCCACCCCCCTTCTACATATCTTTGTGCCAGCGGGTCACACACGCATACGTCCTCGCAATGCTAGAGTGCTATAGTTCTATGGTGGCGCCACCGGCGGTCGCTATGGCGACATATATGTGGTCGCTACAGTTAACATTCCCTATAAACGTACGAGGTAGCGATGACGTCACATGATCACGTGACGATGACGTATATCTATCTATATAGCTGTTACTATTGAGCAGGTTCACATGAACAGCTGTTATATTGAGCAGGTTCACATTTTTTGTTTAACTGGCATGAGCTCACGATTATTCGTTGGTTAACATATATTAGAAGGAAGGAGGGATACTGACTATGCGATCCTCTCCCTCTCCTCAAGCGGCCAGCGTAGAAAATCGCACAGTGTGTCCTAGGCTCCTAGTCCGTTAATTTTTACATCTTTTTTCAAAACTGAGTTTTCCGCTTTCTCCTCCCGTTCCGTGATTTCCGCGGAAAATCCGCTTCTCGGAAAACTTCGGGGACTACTTAACGGCGCTCGCGCTGGCACCTTCGCCGTCATTTCCTATGTTTCGATAGTATAAAGTTCCACTGCTGTTGTAATAAGAACCCCCCCCCCCCACACACGTACACTTTTTCAGCTGGCTACGCCCCTGTGTGACAACAGTAAATGGTCATTAGCAAATATAATAATAATAGTAAGGCCATCCTTAAAAAATTATATGTTTGCTGTCCTCCGACCGACCCACCAAAATAGCCGCAACCCAAAAGTTTTTTTTGGACATTTTGGGTTCCACTTTTTTTTTTTTTATACATTTTTCATAGTTAAGACTGAAACACAAAGCATGTGTGGCAAACATGAGGACAGACTTAAAATAACTATTACGCCTTACAAAAAAAAAAAAATGACCTACCTACCTACCCACTCAAAAAATCATGGGTCGGGGGACAGCAAACATAGAATTTTTTAAGGATGGCCTAAAGCAGGTAAGCGCGTGTGCTTCCTCTCGCGAACACAACCAGACTCCTTCACATTTTAGCCATAACCCTGCATTCTTGTACAACACATTCACACTGATGTGTCAAGCTGCTAGATACAAAAAATGCGTCGCGTCACGCTCACTGCTAAAATAATAGTCTCTGGCTACGTGAACAAACAGCTGTTACACAGGGAGATGGCACCGAGCCAAATTCGGCATGGGCTATCTATCAATAAACAAAGCCTCCGTGGGCTAGTGGTAGGCATCATGCACTGTCCACTGAATGCTGCGAGTTCAAACCCCGGCCGGGGAAGTGAATTTTCTCAAGGTGTAAAAACCTGGCTCTCAACATTGGAGACTGTGAATCTTCCGTGGCTCGGATGACCACGTAAAATGGCGGTCTCGTCTCCAGAAATACTAGCCAATGGGGACATAAAAGAACCACTGAGGGCGCAAAGGAACTCTGGCTGTGACCACCCTCAGTGCCATTTGGCTAAAGTCTCACTCTCTCTCTCTATGTCGATCTCTCCCACTCTCCATGCATCTCACTATCTCTCCCTCGATCACGCGCATGCGTATGACCACCCTGCCTCAAAGCCATGCATGCTGTGGGAGAAAACTGATCCACGTGAAGGTCGTGCAGAATGTATCGAGAGATTTGTGCAAAATCAGGTCCGTAGCCTGTGGTGGGGGCAAGGGGGGCAGCTTCCCCCCCCCCTAGATTTTGGAGCAAAATTAAAAAATAAGCTTAGCAAATAATCGTAAATAACCCTAACGTGATTTTTGTTGTCACGTTGATCCGTGAAAGCCTCGTCTCAGACCTACCGCTAGTAGCTACCACACTATGGACGTCGATCAGGAACTGCGCCCGTCACTCATCATTACACAGTCGAGTCATAAAAATTTGTCCCCCCCCCTAGGAATTTGCTTAGCCTACAGCCCTGAAAATGTATCTGGTAGTAGCATGTGGCAGGGTGGCCCTGTTACGTTGTCGCACCAATTAACACATAGCGACGAGCATGTGCCAGTTATTACTGTAGATCTGTGATGCCTCCCATCTGGAGAGATATAGTATGGCTGAAGGGGTCGTTGTCGTATATGTAGTGCCCGAGGTGTCGGCGAGTATGTCGCCTACGCCTACTCCCTAACCCTAACCCTAACACCCTAACCCTATCAAATAGTTACCTCGGGTACATATTATACGCCATTATACGACAACGACCCTTCGTGCCATAGTGTGATCATATCGGAGTGTGAATAACAACAAAATTGTCAATACAATGTCAGTATAAGACATCAGTATGAAGAACGTTTGTTTTTCTTCACACCTGTTTATCCTGCATTCCAGGGAACTGTTTCGTATTACTAATAATAACTTCTTTGTTGCTGAACTTCTTGTGACTGCTTACTACTGCCACCTAGTGGTCTATCCGGTGACTAGAACATACTGATGATGCCTACTATGGTTTTCTGCTATTAATTCATATATATATATATTATGTATACATATATCGTGGATTCGCTGGCAGCCGTGATGTTTATCTTGTTTGTAGCTCTACTTTTACAGCCCTTCGCTCCATGATTTGTAGTAATTCTGTTACGTGAAGTGAAGTGCTACATGGCATAGTGGGTATAAGAGTAATATTATTTCGCAATGACTCCGTGTAGTCTTGGAGTAGTCATTCTGATGATATTCAGATAGTCAGAATGATTACTCTAAGGTGTAGTTAACCTGCTATCAAGTTTCGACAGGTTGTCTATAGTTCTCTTTGTGAAGCTGAATGAACACATCACCAGATGCCTATAGTAGTAGTAGGTGTAATGTATTGAGAATGCATCTAGACGAGTTGTCGAAACTGTAGCTAACAGCATGGATTGTTCACGAAATAAAATCGCTCTGCATATCATCATGAAATCCGATGAACTGCTTACGAGGGCCCGGGTAGAGAGGAAACCAGCATCCATGCTGTTTAGCTTGGCTGGAGCAAGGAGCTAAATATAACAAGGAGAGGAAGCGGATTGGCTGTGTGCTTTTTGCCTCAAGGGCGCCATCTATAGACCATAATCAGCTGAAACTGCTGTGCAGACCGAACCCAGAGACAATAGAACACTAATCTGTTCTAGGGTCTCTGCCGAACCCAAATGTGGGCCAGATATGGCGGCGCTTCTTCTCCTTGTTATATTTAGCTCCTTGGGCTGGAGAAGTGAGGGCTCGCACGCACGTGTGTGGGGGATGACAGGTTTTGTCATGCGAGTGTGGCATGCTGTCTGAAGCCAATCTATTGAGCCAGTTCTATCTGCGCATCCAAAATATCTGCTCACACTCGTCCAAGAGCAGAACTATGTAACAATACTCTATCGCACATGTCATAAACACGCTATGATATACATACAAGTATATATATATATATATATATATATATATATATATGGCATCATGCAGTGTGTACACGCAAACCTGCTGGTTGTAGTGTTGTTACAAAGCTTTACCGAGTTCGCATGTTCAGTGATAGATTTCTCTTTGCGAGATGCGCATGGAAAGGACGGTTGCAATGTAAGCAATGCACAGCACCCGGCAATCACATAGCTGTTTGCTCCCACAAAGCTCAACTTTACCAAACACACGCGCGCATATATACATATATAAATATATATGTTAAGCACGATACGGCAGAGGTTGTATGAAGGCAGGTGAATTCGTGGCGCCAGCTTGTGAAAAGAATCATAAAATCATGTAAGTGCACATGGGGTTGCGTGCGAGTTGTCCGTAGAATCAGTGAGGAAATGTGCGTAGTGAGTGCATCCTGTTGCCAGTAGCGTGTTATGTTCGGATGGGCACGTTCATGTACGTGCTATCCGGCAACAAGAGGACAAGCGTTCGGTTGTGTTAAGTAATCGTGGGTCCATAGACATAGGTGATAATCATAAGAAGACACAAAAATATATAAAGAAAAGATTAAACAATTGAATTTATTAATAAGCAAAAAATTAATAATATATTGATTATCATCTGGGTCAGTGCTTCGATCAACGAATGTGGTCGGACTCCGATCCGTCTTCTGGCGCCACCTAGCGGACAATGTATAAAGCCAGCGAGCGTGGAGATACTTTTGCATCAGGTGTATAGGAAATGGGAAATGGAAATCGGTTATCGCGTATTTATTTATATATAATAATGTCTGTGCGGAGATTTTTTCGAGGGCAGTTAGTTGATGGTGGGAGGCTAACAGTTGTTTTTTGCCGTTCTATTTGTGCTGTTATCATTTGGCATCACATGAATAAATAAAGATTGAATATG